AAGATTGTACTGTGTAGCACAAGGAAATATATACAGGAGCTTGTGGTGGCTCACAGCAAAAAAAAAATGTGACAATGAATATATGTATGTTCATGTATAACTGAAAAATTGTGCTCTACACTGGAATTTGACACAACATTGTAAAATGACTATAACTCAATAAAAAACATTTACATAAATAAAAAATTAAAATTAAATTAAAATTTAAAAAAGGGGAAAGCCTAAAAGCCCATCGACAGGAGTATGCATGCGTAATTTGTGGTAAATTCATGTGAGAATTATCACACAACAGTTTAAAGAAATGACCTAGAGCGAGTATAGAATGGTACCATCATATATACTTTGTAAAGGACACTATATATTGGGTTTTGGGTAAGTACCCAAAGAGTAAAATTGTAAAAATATGCAGAATATAAGTAAACACTAAATTCTGGCAGGTGGGGAAGGAGAAAAGGGCATGTGATTCCAGAGGGATTGAGAGGAGGCTCTTTAGGGTCCGTAACAGTTGTTTGTTTTTTAAAAACAAGGCGTGGGTCCATGCTTGCTTGAACGCTTTTCTCATTTTGTGACGTATTTTCTTTTAAAAAGAAAAAAGTAGAATATTTTATCATATACCTCAAAACACTTTGCCTATTAGTCAAACTATTTGCTCTTTTCACAATAACCAAACAAGTCATTTTATCTGTTTCTAAATTGTTTATCTATAAGCATCCACCATCATCAGCTTCCAGGAAGAAAATACAGGGACTTGGTGTAAGCTGTTGAAATACGAGTGAGAGCTTCACAGGGCTGTACAGCCCGCCCCGTGGCTGCGTTTGGAAGACCGGGCTAAAAAAGCTGGGAGAACAGGGAACAGGGTGGGGGCACACAAGCACCACGCTGAAAAGCGCGGCGCTGCTGACAGGTGTAAGATGTTACACGATTTAGCAGCGGGTCGGGGGTTCGGACGCCCCTTTTCCTGGTTCCGCACTTGGAAACAACTTCTCAATCCCCGAAGAGCATCAGGAGCGTGCATCAGGAAGGCAGGGGGCCAGCGCAAGCGTGCCCGTGGGCCTGTACGGTTTTTATTTGGAGGGGTGGGAGTAGAGGAGATGGAGGCGGGGGAGGGGGTGGGAATTCCAGAGTTTCCACGACGTCACCCCAAATTCTGAGGCCAGACGTTGGAGGGGTCGTCCCAGCGGCCGGCCAGAGCCCACGGGACCACTCACCTGTCAGCGGTGCCGGGCGAGGGGCGGGGAAGGGGGCGGCGGGCGGGAAGGGTCGCAGCCCCACCACCTACAACCCGCGGCGGCCCGGCCCGACCGGCCCCGCCTTGCCCCTGTGACGTCAGCGCCAGCGGACCA